AATTTGATAGAATTTTAGTGTTAACCAAAAGTTGACTTCAAGAACAACACCTGTTGATATATGGCTTTCAACTGTTTTCACCAAGAACAATTGTAAGTGGACATTTTTTCTCATTTTTTGACCATGTTGATGGGATTACTTCGGTGGTTGCCTTCCAGTCATACAGGGCTGATATGGTGATAGTTGTAGAAGATGTTGGCTTCTTTTCAGGTCTGGGAAAGATGGGATTTTTTGTGATTTGCCTATAGTCACTTGATATGGGGGTCATGGTCCCCTGTAAGGGCCGAACCAAAGATGATGGTCAGGTAATGCCCCTTGGATGTGTTGACTATCAGGTACTGTCACATCATATGTTTTTTTCAGGATACCCAATATTGACCAAGTCATTAGATTCATTAGATCAGGACTTAGTATTGAAGCCTATGGCAAACCATGACTTAAGAAGCAAGAAAGCCCCATTTAATTACATTATTGATATATGTCTATGAATCATTATTAATAACTATTAGCGACTGAATCTGTATAGTTATATATTAATCACTATTAAATCACTATTACATAATCACTAACTGGTCGGTGGTTTGGAACATGTCTTAGTTTTCCATATATTGGGAAGAATCATCCCAACTGACGAACTCATATTTTTTCAGAGGGGTAGGTTAACCAACAACCAGATATATGATATATTTATATGTATAACTTCCCTGATATTCAGGTTGGTGAAATATTATAATTTACCCAGATATATATCACATGTATCTCGAATACTGCCTATATCTACAGACATTTACCGTTGACCCCGTAGATCTTGGGTGTTTTCTCCCAGATCTTGGCCCTTTGATCCCCAAGATCTCCCAAAAAAAAGTCCAGGCCATACACCAGCTGTCAGCCCTACAGCCCACGCTGCTGTGCCTTCCACGATTTTGAGGATTTTGGGGTGCGGAGATCCCCCTGGGAGGGATTCATAGTGATGGGGACTGTGATCGAAGGAAGTTGGACACGACTGTGTTTATCTAAAGGAAACATGTAAGCAACAAAGTTGATAGTTGATGAACAGTGCATAATATGATATGTTTTTTTTGTGCAAAAAAAACAAGGTGGTTTCAAAATGGTTCAAATATGTGTTTTTTTTTTATGTGTCACTGTCATGCTCGTGCCCCAAAAATGTATGATCCAAAGTCCAGGTTAAACGTGTTCACCCATTGTTACTAGCCTCAATGTCCCATATTTGGTTGATGGTTGAATGATTTACCCATTGGTTGCAAGCTTGAATCCACCAAGCAGCTTGAATTTTGTTGAAAGGCTATCGTGTCCATTGGTTCATACTGATTCATATCCTTATGCTAGAAAAATCCCAAAGCGGTTGAAAGAATCATCAATGGTGAATGAATATCCACGTAGTTTAGCCACACGTGATGTCTTTCCCCCAACAAATCCTTGATGTCTACTGCTCAAAACCCATTTGTGGCTAACATTTCGTGGTTGACATATCTTGATTGTTTCTAAAAATGTTACTGTACGCATTGAAATCCAATGTGTTTCCACAACAAATCTGCATGTTTGCTGAAATACAGGTGTTCCATCCAGGTTCTTTTTTGTTGCTGTTTAAATCATATACATATATATTGTTCCATCTACGTGGATCTATTTTGCAAGTTAAATTCATTTGTCTATCTATGTTTATCCGTTTTGCTGGTTGAATCCATGTTTCTGCCTATCTTAGTATGTTCATCTATTTTGTTGCTTGCGTCCCATTTTTTGCATCTTGTTTTCTGACTTGAAAGCTGACTTAGGCAGCGACTCCCAAAGCGATGGTGGAATGTGCACTCTGTGGCCGAAGAAAAGGCTGTAGGAAAGCCCATCGGGACTGATAGGGAATAGCATCTGGCAATCAAACATCTGGGTAAATTTTAACGACCTCACTGTTCTTCCGAACCCTGGAATCATGGTTAATAATAAGGGAAATCATCCCCAAGATAGACTTATTTCAGGTTAGTGAATCATTATAATTTACATAGAAACATGGATTGCTGGAAATTTCTCTATTCAAAGATGCTTTTCCCACTGAAACTTATTGAAACCTCCATGTATAAGTAGTGATTGTCCATTGCCATGGTTGGTTTGGAACTCCAATAATTATGATTTATGGATATTTATGGTGCTTATAATATATAGTTACTAAGTTACTAGGGTTTTGTTCAACCACTACTGTAGGGGGAGGCCCCACATTGGATGAATTAATAAGGATGAATGGGGATTAAAGCGACCATATGTGAACGATGGATTATCTATATATATATATATATAATTATAGTATATCCCTATTTTATATATATATATATTAGGTATATATATAATAATAATAATAATATAAACCATAACTAACAGCATATATATATATATCATTATGATATACTGTGAGAAGGGATGCATGTAGTCTATCCAGTGGTACATGGAGGGAGCGATTCGGAGCGATTCGGCCGTCCAGTATCCACATTCCGAATAAGAAACATGTAGCCAAGGAGCTACGAGGATTTTCCCAACCACATGATAGTGGCTACTATAAGATCAATATAATGAGTAACAGCCAAACAGTGGTTGGTGCTTTGGAACGTTTTTTTTATTTCTCCATTCAGTTGGGAATGTCATCATCCCAACTGACTCCATCATTTTTCAGAGGGGTAGGTCTCAACCACCAGAGATGGTCCCACGTGGGATGATCAGGGACTTAGATATCTGACGAGGGAGGGAGCTCGATAATCAACTACTTCAAACTGGAATATGTTAATATAGAGGTAATGAATACTGGAAAGAGATCCAGTTGAAAAATCATGAAAAATCGCTACTAGCGGTTTCATTGAACTTTTGGACCCAACTTGTTTTTTTCATGGAGACTCTACCGTGGAGAATCATCCCTAAGTGACCGATGTTTTGGGGATGGGTTGAAATCAGCAGACGTTTATTCCACTTCGATGAATAGTTACGAGCGCTTTGATTTGTGATTGGCAAGTACACATATAATGTGAGAATACAGATATATAGTATCTGATTATATGTATATGTATATGTATATGTATGTATATATATATACATATGTATAGATGGATAAAATTACAACGACTTAACTGCGACGTCACTGTAAATGATGGCTAATAAGGTTATGTAAGGTTGGCCATCCCCAGATGTCCTTATTTCTTTCAGGTTGGCGAATAGTCTTAAAATGGCTTCGCGGTTACAGATCCATCAATGCCATAGCGATTCCCATTGCGCAACGCACTGTTGCCCGTGTCCCGCTCTGGTTCTCATGCTCATTTGCTTGGGGTTGGCAAACCATACATGTCAGCATCCTTTCACAATTCCCGTGTATATATATATATATATAATCATTTCTAGTACACTTCCGAGACATGTTTTAAACTACTTTTTTTAGTGGCATGCCATTTGGTTGGTGGTGTGAAGGGGGTTGCCAGATACAGCTTATGTATAAGTATATATTTGTGTTATTATTATATACAATTATATTTAGATGTTTGTATGTATAGAGAACATAGATATGATCCAATATTCAATTAGTATACTGGATAATACTGGATATATATATATATATTTATACTTATACACATATATCTAAGAATATAGTTCGATATCATATGTAACCGTATATCAGCACACGCGTGTTTCTTGCAAAGAAGCGAAACTTTGAACATTTACGGCCCCAAATGGACTGCAATCAAAAAGTGCAATCACTTTAAACATTGTGTATGCCACTTTTGGAATCAAGAGTCAAGATTCAAGACTGAAATTTATTCCTTCGGGTGATTCCCACCGACCATTTTGGCTACTTGACATTCTATTTGACATGTAGTTTATTGTATTTTGGACATATACTCTGATATTCTAGTTGACATATATTATTCTGACCTTCTAGCTGACACGTTATTGTGCATATTTCTGGCTTTCTATCTGGCATATGTTCTGACAGTTTATCTGAAATGAGTGTTCACATAAATCCTGACATTATATGTATAACATATGTTTTCCTGCATTCTATCTTGCGCGGTGTTTCTTGCATTCTGACATTTTATTTGGCATTCGATCTGACATAAATGACATTTGATCTGGCATATATTGATAACTGATATCCCATTATTACACATATACCTATATATATATTATATACATATACATATATACTATATTTTGACACCGCCATCCCATCGCCCAACGGAGAACGTCATCTGCCTTTGCCAAGGTCAACCCGGCAGTTGCTTTTGCATCGACTGCAGTCAACGTCCCTATAGCCCAGGTGTCCGGGAGAACCACCGCGACCAAAAACATTTGTGTGCCTTCAGTTTGGCTGAGCCTGGCTTAAACATCTTTAAGTCTCTAAGCAGTTGTCTTTGCGAAGTATGATAGTGAATTTATAACATCCCGACATTTTGTGGACATGTTGAAAAGACATGAGGTATACACCGAAACTATTGGGCTTGGAGGTACCTTGTCTTTTGAACAAACCCAGGATGTGCACCCTGGTCAAAAATTGGAAGGGTGGTCCCATATATGGAGAAATCAGGCAGCTAACGGAATGGGGGTCCTGGGTGAGTGATGTCTTGTTCCAAACACAAGAAAACGCTGGTGTTTACAGCGTTTTGTGTTTTTTTTTACAAAATCATTCCCCAAATGATAATTGCTTAAATAATATGTGGGTACTAAAATGTACTAAAATGAAAGCCTCCCAATTAATCAACCCAGTGGTTTATACACTTGGGGTTGACATTACTGCCCATGAATGTAGTCCTTGAAATTTTGAGTCCATAACTTGGAATTTCACTTGTGTTGCAAAAGATCCACAGGGTGGTTGGGTAACGACCCATTTTCCACCCAGACACAGTATGTGCATGGCTTTTTGTTCACCATTTTTACAGAGTTCTTCATGATCTTAAGGGTTTAACCTGCATTTTCATGGCATTTTCCTGGCATTTCTCGGATCTCTGCAGCCACTTCGGCCAAGCCGATCCCGCCCGTTTGACGTCGTTGACGTCGGGGGGACGCCCGTGGCGAGACCGTCGGTCGTTGCGAGACGCCATGAGCTTGGAGCGGCGGAAGCCGTCGCCACTTGGCGACGTAGCCATTGAAACCTCCGTTGATAGGGGATTAAGAGTGATTATTACTAGGTCAATCTTACATGGATACTTTAATCCTTTAGTCTTTTGGTATCAATGGGAATATCTACTAACCAGCAAAGAATTTGATTTTTTGCAGGGTATCTAAGATTGGCAATGTTTATAGGGGATTAAGAGTGATTATGAGTGATGAATACTGGTGAATAGTGATGAATAATGATTACAAATCAGTGATTTATCATTACGCATGACAATAGAATGGGGATGAATAGTGATCAATGATTAATGGGGATACCCTATATGTATATACCATCCGATACTTAAACATGGTGTGTTGGAAAATCTAACATTTAGTTCAATGATTTTCCCAGCCAAAAACCTCCATCTATGAGGCTTTTTTGACCACTGGCTAGGTGGATAATGAGGCAAACCCAATCATATAACATTTATATAATTGGATAATCCAATCATAAATCATCCATTTACCCATTTCATTAGCATCATGAGATAAATTATGGACCATTAACTAATTTCATAAACCATCCAATTGTGGTTTGTGAAATTGGATTCATACCCCCAGTTGGGATGATGTAAAATGACCCCCAAATTGTGAAAAATGGATGGGCCATGGGTTTAGCATATGTGTTTTTTTGATAGAATTACCGTAGATTCTTATAATTAAGGTCACTCATAAATTTGATAGAGTTTATACTCACCAATCCAAGCGTTCGCCCAGTCACTAGCTGCCTTATTAATAACGTGTGGGGTCCCTCCCTGTAGTCATTCCATCCCATGGTTGATTCGCATGTTCCAATGGATTCGGGCTTGGGCACAACTGGGCTGTTTCTTGATGTTTCTTGGATTCTCGTGGTCCTGAGTGATCCTTTTTTCGTTCCCCCATGTCAATGCCCTGCTTAAAATGATGACACCATCGAAAGATGGTATAGTTACCCAATGTGAACAAGCCAAGGCATTGATCCTGGGTTGACAGTAGCTGTGTTGTATGAGGGCATTTTCCTCACGTTGTATGCCGGTGCTGTGTTGCTGAACAGCAGAGGATCATCCCCAGGGCTGTTCTCTGAGCTTTGCTATAGATGTTGGGGCCCCGAAACGATAGCCAAGACGGTTTATGGCAATGAGATAACTACAGTTGCAGTACTATTACTGTAAATAGTGTTCATTGCGGACCAACTTATGGCTGGCCCCACTTTGCATAGATGCTTGCTCGCTAGCTGGAGTAAGAACCCTCACAACTGAGCTATGGATCACCCACCAGAATGGATTGCTGAAATGGGATAGGGGACTCATAAACCAGGATGACTAACAGAAAACCTTCCTTTTTGATTCCTTTTTGATGCTAAATCCCATGGGTTTTACCTCTGCAAGATGTCCCGGGATGAACTAATCCTCCACTGTCAATATTGGAACCCCTTCCCGTGGATGCGCCCAGCACAGATCACAGAACTTATTCTTGTTGCGATAAATGGGGATGCAAAACTGAATCAGCGAAACAATGAATGTCTTGTCAGGGTATCAAAGGTTGGCCATAATTACTGTAATTATAAGGGCAATTGTACACATCTTCTGGTAGTCATTTGACCATGGTAGCAATGTTTTCGCCCCAACTCTATCGATGAGGTGGGCTCTGAGATAGGGTCTTTGGGTCAAACTCTTCGTCATGGCGGCAGCAGTCAGCGCCATACAACGAAGAAGCTCAGCTCTGACCGCTGGGGGATCCCAAAATGGATCCCAACTGCCCGGTGGTGATTTAACCATGTGCAATCGAAAATCATCGCTTTTCGATATGTTTAAACAGATATCATCGGACTAAATGTGCCATTACCATAGCTGTCAAATTGCCAGAGGTGGTAATCTAGTTTGGGAATGTTTGGGATGCATAATTGTCCGTGTGGTTGGGTGATAGCTAGTTTGCGTGCCATCCATAATGCTGGAATATCACCCACATGAGTTGACTTAAGTATTTTTTTGAATGGTTTATGGGAGATGTAACTATAGTTCATGTATGTGAATGTGGGAAACCCAATAATAAACCTACCATGTGGGGATGATTTAATAATACCACCCATAAAAAGTGTGATTTGGGGGATGGTTTATGGCATTGAGTTTATAACATTAATGGGTTTATAATTGTTTACATAGACCAACAAACATCACTGGGGGCCCTCACTTTGTAGAGGAATTGAATTCTCTCCTATCGACCCAACTGGCGGACCAGCCGCGGATTAAAATCGGAGGTCAATCTTGGGGGAAGCATCGAACAATACTATCATATTTTTTTGTTTTGGGATTTGCATTAAATTTGCCAGATTGACTTTTAAGATGTCATAAATCCTCCGAGAATGAGGAGTTGTTTCTGTCACAATCATTGGGGACTTTGAAGATTTGCTGATTTCACCCAGAGAAGAGAAATGATACTCAACCATATCCCATGATACGACCATTATCATCATAGCATAAGTTATATATTATATATATATTCATGTTTTATCAAAGATCGTATCCCCATAATTCTTGCCGAAATCTTCCATATTGTGTTGCTTGTAGCACCAAAAATTGCTGGGAAAAACGCGCAGCGCTGCGCCCAGAAAGATACCTCGAAGAGTTGGCAAAGACGGAGAGTACCGTGGCCAAGACACCCACCAAGCAGCTCAGACTGACCGCACCGGGGGGGTTATTCGGGGATGATGGTCATACCCCATAGGATCCATGTAATTATGCTATATATATGGTAACATGGATCCCATCAATATACCCCAAATGTTGGCATATATACCATACATGGATCCTATGGGCACATGGTGAAGGGTAGGTGATTCATGGAAATCTAGTTGAATTGTAACAACCTTACGTCGTGATGCCATTGGAATGATGGGACTTGGATTCGGGGAATCATCCCCAAATGGCTGCAAGTTTCAGCTATATTCAGGTGAGAGAATTGTTATACGTACATCAATGTAAAAGTATATGTGCCATGGTCAAAACATCGGGTGTTTTCCCATAAAAGGGATTGGTCATTACTCCATTTCATAGGGATTTATGTACCCACTGTAAGGATTCCCAATATGAGATGGATGACCACAACCCATATGTTTTAACCAAGCCATAGCTACAGTAAGTTATGTATACAAATAGTTCTTGAAAAAGTGTGGATATATGTATATTAAGTGTATCTCTCTCTATATATATATATAATTACATGCATATTGTGATTACCATGATTGATTTATTGTTGCATGTTCTTGCCACATATCTTTTGGAAGGGGAGTTGATATCCAGCTGGGACGTGCGAACGAGATTGGGCACACAGACCCATCTAGCTCACTGTAAATGATTGTTCGTGACAGTACTCATCTCAATAATATCTGATTCACAATTTCAAGAAGTGTTATTGTATGAAATCCACAGGAAGGCCCTTGTTTAAATTATGTTTGTTAGTTCATACCACCATTTTAAGTCTTACGATATCATATATACTAGTGCATGTGTATATATATATATATACAGTATACATATACACCATGAATCCAATCATTAGCCGACTTATAAACCAACTTATCTATCTGATGGGTAGCATTTCTGTGCGATTATGTAGCAACTTAATGTGATGAAATACTGTAGCCAAGATATACCTATGTTAATAATGTTCCACATTATTTTATATACCTATATACATCCCATATTTGGAATAAGAAATCTACAAGAAAATTTTACCTTGCCCCTAATTCACATAGAGCCTCAAAATTGGCAACCTTTCGTTGAAACTAATCTTCCAAACCCCGACTCAGCTTATATTTTCTTGCCATCTCCAGGCTAGGATCCCAAACTTGCTACTTGTACATAGGACAAATTACAGGAAAGCCCTATCTTTTATGGTAAAATCAATGGTGTCCATTGCCCAGAGATTTGATGAATATTACAGTAATGTTCTATCATGATAATGGATGTTCATTCAAGATTCCTACACTGTGGGATTGGTTAGTTTATAAACCCCATTAGCTATAGTCATAGAGTCACAAGTACCAGAAATCAAGGTTGTTGGAGTTATGTTCGCCAACGCTATGGTCAACGGGGCCCCCGTTTTTTGTACATTCCTTACGTCAGCTAAGGGACGTCAAAAAACGTGCAGAAAAACTGCCGAAGAACTGCTCTAAGGAAGTCCACGAAAGCGACTTTGCCAGAGCTGCCGCAGCCGGGAAGGGGGATTTGGCGCTGGCAGCGGCAGGACCGGTGACGGCAGGGATTTGACCCAACCATCACCGGGCAAATGGGAACGAATATCTTAGGGAAATCAGTGGTAAACCCAATGAACTATATGTATCCATATGTAAACCATCCATATTTGCCTGATCCATAATTGCCTGGGCTGGATGGTATACACCATCAACATCCATCAACCATCAGGGTGGTTTAAGATGGTTTAACTAGTCGGGTTACCACACTATTTCTTTGGCCATGGTCCCCCATTGGTATCAAACATGGCGGGGTACGTCTCACATCAAGTATGATCGCGCAGACCCACTGAGTGTAGGTGGTAAGTGCCTACTAGGTAGAATGAAGTAGGACGCACAGAGTCATGCAATATCCAGAAAAAGTGAATTTCTTGAGCCACTAAACCCAGCCCTAAACCCAGTTTTTGGGATGAGTCCATGTTACATCCGATGAATTCCATGGTACCCCAAAATCCCATTCTTGATCATCATGATTCCTATGGAAAATTTAACCATTTTTGGGGTGCACCCGATGTCTTCAGTGACACCCAAAGGAGAAGATTGCTCCCCAGCATTCCCAGCATTGTTCTGGTGCATTAAACTGGGATACAGCAAGGGAAAGGGGGGCATCATGTTCCAGTCATTTTCTGTGCTAAGATCTAGGTTAAATTTGGCTGGATATGTTCGTTCTTTAACCCGCATATCGCATATATATATACACACATGTGTTAAAATTGCAAACGGAGATAAGGTGGATTTTCCAGCTAGCCATGTTTGATGACACCAAACGGTATGTCATTGTTCATTTGAAAAAGGATCCAATCATTGCCAGAATTGTCCAGCATTGTTAGATATAGGATGATTTTTTTCGAAAAATGGGAGGTAACATTACATAAACATTAGATAAAATTATGATTTCCAGGGGATGTAGCTCCAAGTTCCCATGGGTTTTTTCAAATGGTACGGTACAGTTGGTACTAGTCGTAGCTCCACTGATCCTGAAATGTGGACCAAGATTCCCAAGACTTCCCAATGGGGTGAGTGTGCCGAAGTGGATCCACTTAATGTCCGAAGCCCAAAAGTTATTAACAAATGTAGTCATCTCAAAGTCTTTTATTAACCATAATTAACCTACAGTTATACTTTCTTATTCAGTCACCTGAGAACATGTTCTTTAAATCATGTGAAATCATTAGATTTCAGGAGCTTTCAAGAGGCAAATCAGCGGAATAACCCCTGCCATGTTCCGGTGAAGGCGGCTTGGGTGTACCTCCAATCTCCGGTTCAGCTCTTTGCGACTCGGAACCCGAATGGGGTTCGGCAGGGACGCTGTCAGCGAAAAGATAAAAACAGAACATGACTTCAGCAGAAACTTCGGATATAACATGATATTAACGACCATACAGTGACAGATGGTGATACTTCCAATTAGAAAGATTTACTGTAATAGGGTGTTTAGATGTGTTTAGGTTCTAGTCATTAATTTAATCCCATACCCGGCTTTTAATTTATCGTCCATATGATTTTGTCGCAGATTTGGAAGCCCACGGCTGGATGGAGCAGGTTGACATAGAGATTAATTATGTATGTGACTGTATGTGTTGGATTAGATGATGCGAAAACACCACATGTCTCACTGAAAGTTTAAGTCTCGACGGAAAATGACCATGCTGCAATGGTTTTTTTTGACTGGGCAGCAACTCATTTTCCTTGCAATTCATATTGGTTGATGGTTTCAAATCTTTCTTAGTTTAAACCATAGACATGGGATGTTGATCCCAAATGCCGAGCATCTTCTTGTAGATGGGTTGACACCACCAATCAGCAGAAATCTATCGGAGTGGCTCCCAATGCATCAACCAAAATATATTGATCCAGGGTTGACATACAGTATGTTGACATATGTTGACACGAATGATTTATACTCTCATCCCTTTTGGTAATTCAACAACGCTAGAAACCATGGTTTTGTAGGGGGACTATTTCACTATTTTGGGACCATTCACCATGGGAAAGTTAAAAAAATGAACGGGGGATGGGAATTTCCACGTCTAATCCCATGGGATTCTCCATTAAATCAGCAACGCGTTTTAGGGTACGTGTGGCTCCACTGGGCCACTGGCTACGTCACGACTGAATGATGCAACCAATCCTGGTTGGTTTTTGGGGTCGCTATCCCCAAGTCGCCTTATTTTCAGGGTGAATGACCCAGACGCTCTTCAAAGCGAGATGTTTAGCGTATTGAAAAATCTTGGTCAACAAATGGTTGTGATATCTAGGCATTACCCTCTGGTAATTAAACATAGCCATGGTACAGATGGCCCATAGAAATAGATGGTTTACCTATTAAAAATGGTGGATCTTTCCACGGCTATGTTAAATAACCAGATGGTAATTGCCATTGATCATGAATGAATCTCTACAGATAATTATACCCTCTGGTTATTTAACATAGCCATGGAAAATGACCATGTTTAATAGGTAAACCCAGGTGAACCATCTATAAATGGGCCATTTTCCATGGCTATGTTAAAGAACCAGATGGTACATGTTTGTTTGTTTGATACCATCATCTAGAGTCTTGGGAACGGTTTCAGACTAGTTTCGTGAACTGCACACTTAGTGACTTAGTTAGCCTCGAAGTGCTCGCAGGTGGCTCTGTTGATTGGAGGGAACTTCATTGCAAATATCGCAGAGAGACTTGACGCATCATGGGTGAGTGAAAGATGTCGCCCCCTTATGGGTCAGAAATTTATTTTCTCCCAAAAAGATTGGATTTAAACCTAAACGTTCGCATTTTGAGCATCATCAAATCAAAGTCACATCAGGTCACCAATTGTTTGGGGAAGTCACAATTCGTGCACCCACATTATTTGGCAAAATTCAAATCCGGAACACTTTATGGTGCCCAGGATGTCTTGAAATGGTCAACTTACAATTACAATCACCTTGGGCTGCGAAAAAATTGGGGGGCCATTCAGCAGATGACCTCACTTTTCGGAGTTTTTTATCAACCAGTGGTTCTCAATCTTCAGGGAAATGATCAGTTTGGGACCCAGTTCGGCAAGCGGCCCAGCGGCTAAGGCCAACTGGTGACATCTCTGGTTAGTTTGTTCCATGGATTCAGCATTCAGCGAATAGACAACAAATCTTGAAAACTACTGAAAACTCTACGGACATGAGATGACATGAGTATTTTGCATATCCAAAATCTATAACAACATATAACAACTCACTCCTCTCAGAGAACGCTTTTATATTGCTTGAAGAGTACTTTTTCATACATTGTTCCATGCGTTTCCAAAGCTCTGCGTATTTTGTTCTCTTGGAGTACATCCCATTTGGTGGTGATAACATGTGATAACCATATCAAAGTGGTAAAAACCCATCAAGTAAACCCATTGTAATAAGCAATTCCCAAAACAATATGTTTATGGCTGGTGTTCCAAACCATCCACAAATGGTAATTATTTTTTTTTCTACGGCGTTGGTTTCCCACATGATAGCGTATATATATAATTATATATATATATACACGTATACTACATTATAATATATATATATATATATTACATTTGCATATATCTACCTAGAAAACCATGGTGAAATATGAGTTATGAATCATTTATAGATGATTTTCCCATTAAATCTCCATAGATACATGGAATATCCCCAGTTTTTTAGAATATCAACCGCTACCTGGCGAGGAAGTGGATCGACCCTTCGGGCGACTTGCACATGGCGACCTGGGAAGGCATTGATATGTCCCTCGTTTCTTCCGCTGGTTTTTTTGTGAAGCAAGGTGCTTTTAGAGCCAGGGAGGTGCCCATAGTTATAAGATGTTATAAGGCCCCTCCGAACTTCTCAACTCACCATGCTTTTGGGAATGGGATGTGTTTACAACAAGAAATTTGAGGTTCAAAAGCGGACCCATCCATGATGCTGGTTGGTGAAAAAAGGGATTCCCCGCATGGAATGTAATCATCCCCAATATATTGGATGGTATAATTTAGGTGTCTCTTTGGTATCTTTATTTAAGGTTATGGTCAGGAGGGGTACCCCTAGCTGGATAATTTCTTGGGTTGGAACTGTTCAAAATATGACTATATATATACATAAAAGTGTTCAACATATTCAAAAAACCATTCAGAACTCTATTGCCGTTTGCCAAAAGATTGCCAAAAACGATGTTCACCTTTGCCAAAAAATGGCAAGAACCATATCAAAGGTTGTCCCAAAAACTTGTCAGAATCATATTGGTGTTTGAAAACTAGACGACGGGTGGCCCGAGAGCGTAGAGGAGCAGAGTCTTCTGTTGTTAGTATGGAGACACTATATTACAAGATAATATGATAAAGATGTATGATAGGCAGACGAGAAGAGTAGTATCAAGACAATATATGACTAGTACAAGACAATAGTTTGCATCGTATTTTTGTAAAGTTTTTCATACACAGAACTTTTTACAGACAGACGCTTTTGCACACAGAGACTTTTACACACAGACGCTTTTACACACAGACGATTTTGCATACAGAGACTTTTACACCCAAACACTTTTACAAACAGAGACTTTTACATACACAGACGCTTTTACACACAGAAGCTTTTACACACAGACGCTTTTACACACAGACGCTTTTACACACAGACGCTTTTACACACAGACGCTTTTACACACAGACGCTTTTTACACACAGGCACTTTTACACACAGACGCTTTTACACACAGAGACTTTTACACACAGACGCTTGTACACACAAGCGCTTTTACACACAGACGCCTTTACACACAGACGCTTTTACACACAGACGCTTTGACACACAGACCCGTTTACACACAGAGGCTTTTACACACAGAAGCTTTTACACACAGACGCTTTTACACACAGACGCTTTTACACGCAGACGCTTTTACACACAGACGCTTTTACACACAGAGGCTTTTACACACACAAGCTTTTGCACACAGACGCTTTTGCACACAGACGCTTTTACACACAAACACTTTTACACACAAACACTTTTACACACAAACACTTTTACACACAGACGCTTTTACACACAGACGCTTTTACACACAGATGCTTTTACACACAGACGCTTTGACACACAGATGCTTTTACACACAGACGCTTTGACACACAGACGCTTTTACACACAGACGCTTTTACACACAGAAGCTTTTACACACAGACGCTTTTACACACAGACGCTTTTACACACAGACGCTTTTACACACAAACGCTTTTACATACAGAGGCTTTTACACACACACACACGCTTTTGCACACAGACGCTTTGACACACAGACGCTTTTGCACACAGGCGCTTTTACACACAGACGCTTTTACACACAGACGCTTTTACACACAGATGCTTTTACACACAGACGCTTTGACACACAAACACTTTTACACACAGAGACTTTTACACACAGACGCTTTTACACACTGACGCTTTTACACACAGACGCTTTTACACACAGATGTTTTTAGACACAGACGCTTTTACACACAGACGCTTTTACACACAAACGCTTTTACAGACAGATGCTTTTACACACAGACGCTTTTACACACAGACGCTTTTTACACACAGGCGCTTTTACACACAGACAAGAACGGCACAAGTAAAATCGCAGTTTTACCTCAGTTTTTGCCGATCGACCCTCATTTCGTGCGAAAGGGTTGCTTTAGCACACGTAAAATCGCAATTTTACCTCAGTTTTTGCCGATCGACCCTCATTTCGTACGAAAGGGTTGCTCCAGGACAAGTCAAATCGCAGTTTTACCTCAGTTTTTGCCGATCGACCCTCATTTCGTGCGAAAGGGTTGCTTTAGCACACGTAAAATCGCAATTTTACCTCAGTTTTTGCCGATCGACCCTCATTTCGTGCGAAAGGGTTGTTTTAGCACACGTAAAATCGCAATTTTACCTCAGTTTTTGCCGATCGACCCTCATTTCGTGCGAAAGGGTTGCTTTAGCACACGTAAAATCGCAATTTTACCTCAGTTTTTGCCGATCGACCCTCATTTCGTGCGAAAGGGTTGCTTTAGCACACGTAAAATCGCGATTTTACCTCAGTTTTTGCCGATCGACCATCATTTCGTGCGAAAGGGTTGACGTTTCGTGACTCCCCGCCGGCACCACCCTCGGCCTTAAGAGAGAAAGATAAAAAGAAGGCGAGAGAGAGAAAAAGGAGAGAGATGTGAGAGAAGATGTGAAGATGAGCAGATGTGAAGATGAGCAGATGTGAAGATGAGCAGATGTGAAGATGAGCAGGTGTGAAGATGAGCAGATGTGAAGATGAGCAGATGTGAGAGAAGATGTGAAGATGAGCAGATGTGAAGATGAGCAGATGTGAGAGAAGATGTGAAGATGAGCAGATGTGAGAGAAGATGTGAGAGAAGATGTGAAGATGAGCAGATGTGAAGATGAGCAGATGTGAGAGAAGATGTGAGAGAAGATGTGGGAGAAGATGTGAGAGAAGATGTGAAGATGAGCAGATGTGAGAGAATATGTGAGAGAAGATGTGAGAGAAGATGTGAAGATGAGCAGATGTGAAGATGAGCAGATGTGAGAGAAGATGTGAGAGAAGATGTGAAGATGAGCAGATGTGAGAGAAGATGTGAGAGAAGATGTGAAGATTTGCAGATGTGAGAGAAGATGTGAAGATGAGCAGATGTGAGAGAAGATGTGAGAGAAGATGTGAAGATGAGCAGATGTGAGAGAAGATGTGAGAGAAGATGTGAGAGAAGATGTGAGAGAAGATGTGAGAGAAGATGTGAAGATGAGCAGATGTGAGAGAAGATGTGAAGATGTGAAGATGTTTTACAGACCCCCACTATTGGAAGAACCCTGCGCTCAGACGCTCTCGGGAACAAAAATAGTGAAACTGATCACCGCAGTGTTTAGCAATGCTGTGAGCAAAGTGAGAAAAGTGGGGAAGCATGACAAATGGTAAAAGGTTGTTCTGTAAAAATGATGGAACCAACCCCAAACAAAAGGTTCCGCTGTTTTTTGGTTGGTTTTGCAAATACTTCTAGATGGTTCTACTTAACTTTGCAAATAGTTCCACTGGTTTTTGTATGTTTGTTTTATTCCTCATATAGTTCCCAATGCTATTCTTTAAGGTTTTATCGAATGCTGAAATAGTTCCTCAGGTATTTGTAGAGGGTCCATGTAGTTCTACATACCCCTCAGCTGCTCACCATGAAAGAGGCCAAGAAAGGCCCCAAAGTATAATCCCTACAATCATCAACCAACAGGGGTTTAACAGCCACTGCTCAGTTTTCCCCACTAAAAGCTGTCAACCACCAAGACAGCCTGGCTGTTGGGGTTGTCTGGGGTTGTCTGAACATGTTGGGAAAACCAAACCAGATTGTTGTATCCCAACATGTTTTATCCCCAAAAAATGCTTTATGTGTTTCCATGTTTTATGTTTTATCCCCAAAAATATCCCCAAAAATGCTGTTCCGTTTTTGCCCAAAAACTCTCTTTGTGAACAGTGAGTTCAACCAAGAGATTTTAGCCCCGACGCATGGCAGGGTCGAACTGTTAATTTACTGGCTATGGATGGTGGTGCCCCAGTTCGTTAGCGAAGTTGGTGCAAATAACTCCCATTTCACTATGGTTTATGGCAGATATAACTATAGTTTTCATGGGGTGAATCTAAACCAACAAACATCACTGGGGGGCACCATCCTGTAGTAAATGGCCACAAATTGGTGTTATCAGTTATCCCGTGTTATTCTCTGTTCTTTTCGGTCAAACCCAACTGGGTTTTTCCCGACTGGTGAATGATGGGTGCGCATGAGAGAGTTACTTTCTGAAGCGTGGCCGGGATATATACAATCAGTCCTGATCTATCCAGATTTAGAATAAACATTATAACATATATGTATAGGTTCTAGATCAGGATTCGGATAGATCAGGATTGAGTAGTTCTAACCTTATCTAAGTCTATAATTCAGTTGGATAAGTTTAAAGACCGATGATCAAGGAACGGTGTGGTTGGTTGTTCCAGCCACAAACTATACTGAATGAATAGTTTTTAATATTAGCTTTAACAGGGATCAATGGTGATTAATAAGGATTAGACCTACACAATTCTGGATTAGACGGACCTGTTAAAAACCATCATGCTTTTTGGCTCACTATATGTGTATATTTCATGAGCGTTAGCATATCGGAACCACCTCACTTGCTGATTAGTTACATACCAAGCACTCGGGCGAGAGTATCGCGCGACTAGCAAGCATGACCCAACGTTGCACGAATGGTTGGCCTGCAGGATGAGGGGCAAGCTGGCAAAATCTACAAGAAAGCATCATATTTAATATTATCTAATGGAAACCATTGAAGAACCATGGTTGCATGCTTGAGTCCTTCCGATGATGTAAGGGAATGCACTTGTTCTTGCAGTGGCAGTTGCCAGATGTGTGAAAAACCACCCTGAGCCACAAGGTGGTACTCGTACCATAAGACCCCGGTGAAATGTGCGGTATAAATCAACTTAGCTCAGTCCATGTAATTAAATCCAATCAAAGCCCATTAAAACTCCCATTCCATCCCACTAAATTGCCATTTCTGCTGGTAAGCTGTACCTCTCTGTACTGTCTTCATCTTCACTACACTAGGGCCGCTAGGGCGCTGTACCAACCGGGCTGTGGCATGAGGTTTTTCAATTCCGTCTTCGCGGTGGAGCTGATTTGGAATATGTCGCTCGGGGACGTCCAAGTGTTCCAAGGGGCAAGAGACAGTTATGTGGGGATGAAATCTGTGGACTTATGAAAATCGTGTGTGTTTTTCTATTGGTTGGTGGTTTGGAACATGTGTTTTTCCATAGATTGGGAATAATACTCCCATTTGACTAATATTTTTCAGAGGGGTAGGTCAACCACCAACCAGATATAATGATACAGATTTGTGATATATATTATATATACAGTACATAAATGGATATACTATATGTAATATATAGTGTATACAATAATACACAATAAATATATGATGTATTATCCATAATAGAGGGATGGGGTACTGAGAAGGATTTTTCTTATGTGGGTGATAATGGGGGATATTCAATGAAATACCCGTCACGGATATTCCTGATAAGGGACACTATGGGATGTTTCTGATAGACAGAGATAAGGGGTGAAAAGGGGGCCCTGAGAATGGGTCAACGCAAGGGGACTTTATGGACAAACCTCGGCAGGTGGTCAGAGACCTGGTGAGGCTCAAGAGGGGTTTTTCAAAATTCTTCAGTTGCTGAATGTCCTCTATAGAAGGATTCCTCCAGAATGGGGCAACGATGATCGCATTGATCAACAGATGACATACCATAAATAGTTACATAAATTCTATTTAATTATGATGACTATTCAATAGTTACCAAGAAAGGGTATAAAGGTTGAGTGTTTGATCAACAGATGGTCGCAAGATGGTCAAGATTTTTTAGGCCTCCCCGTTCGTTTTTCGGATGTGCCAAAGGGGGATTTGAAGATCATCCGATGGTTGGCCAAACGGTTTGCTTGAGATGTTTGATTTTCCCAATGGGAAATCCACCATGACTGGGGAACCTTTCAGGGAATTACCATCCGGTAAACATACAAAAAACTATGGAAAGATCCACCATTTTTAATGGGAAAATCCACTATAAATGGCTATTTTCAATAGCTATGTTAAATTACCAGAGGGTATTGATGTTTATTGATTTGGAGTCCTAAAATTAGCAAATCCCCATCGTGATTTCCGTGATGAACTACCGGGTATTGTTCATGACACGGATCACCATCGTTTGCCACACATTTTGGCAACGCAACTCTACCCTGGGAAGTAATCCCATGCCACCAATGGGAGACATCAATATCCAAGTGGAGGAGGATCTAGGTAAATAGCGATGGAAGAGCAATGAATATCCAAGTCACTGAGAGTTAGGAGATTTGAAAGGTTTTTGCTGGTATTACTGTATATACTGTGTATGATTGTGTATATATATATATATGTAAGGTGGTAAAGCCAATAGTAAACCATGCCCAAAATCACCATGTTTATAAACCATCCCCAAATGTTAGGTTGATTAATCATTGGGTTTCCCACATTGCACCCCTTGAACCCAGTTGAATCCACATCACCACCAGAGAGCCGATCAAGCAAAAGCCATGAATATCCAACTGGCTGGTACCAGTAGTTCTGGGTATGTAGTGATATAGACTCATGTCACACAATTTAGCATCCTTAGAATCATCCTTAGAAACATCATTAGAAACATCATGAACCATCATCAATCATATTGTTGTTACCATGATCAACCATTGTTAACCACTATTAAACATCAAACACATCTAGTCCATGCCCATCATGAGCCATTGTGAACCATGATCAACCATTGTGAACCATTAACCACTCCTATTAACATTTAAACAAACATCATTTGCTCCATGCATCGCAAGAGATCCTTTTTACGTGTGAAAACATCATAGCCCCCTGATTATATATATACACACATAATTATATAATCATAAAATTTCGGATGATTAACCATTGGTAACTATTGAATAGTTTTGGTCCATGTACCGTATCGACGTGGCGAGGTATGCCTTCTGGTTTTGGCCCTTTTGGAAGTCCGGTTGGAACGTCTTTGACTTCGTTGTGGTCACCATCGGCATTCTGAACATGTCAAAGCTGCTCAGCACACGCCAAATCCGTTAGATGTATATAATATATACGGGACAAAGACATATTATATATATACATACATGGGATACACATGGGGATATATATATATATGTACATATATATATATGTTCATTTATAATTGGGATATAGTTATGTTTTTATATATATATATGATTAACTGAGAATATGATACTTGGGTGTGTCTGGAAATTACCCTCCAGTAAACTAACATAGCTATGGCAGATGGCCCATTTATAGATGATTTGCGTATTAAGAATTGGGATATGATGGGATACATAACCAAGAATGTATGATATGTGGGTGTGTCTGAAAATCAGGGTATACCCCCAATCATAACCGTTTACTTGGGAAAATCATGCAGTTTACACCCAACATTTCCCAGTATGTGGTGGATTAAATGCGCTTTTGCACCAAACATGTCGGAGACATAAATGTTGATAATGTGTCCATTGACTTGAATATAAAAAAACATATCCAACATGTATACAAAAATTATATATACCCAATAAAATCCAATGACATAAGTAAAGCTAGCATTTGTCGGGAACTTAAGTTGGTAGAATTACCATTGACTAAAACAATGCTCAAGTTTCTGTCATTTCTTGGGGAACTCTTTAAGATTGTGTACAAGCAACATTTCCCAAGATTGGCAGAGAAACCTTTGACTCTGCTATAAATCATCCATTAACCAGAAAAATATCCATTATTAATCATGGAATTAAATCATAATGATACATCATTATTATAGACCATCTAGGAAAATTCTAAGATTATTAATCATAACTTATTAATTTTCTAATGGAAAAGTTAAAACTCCTCTAAATAAATGGCCCTCATGGTTAATATTAATCATATCCATCATGATTCTTCATCCCCATTGGTGATATAAATCTTAGAATTATGATTAACCATTGATGTATAAGTTATGATTAGTTTAACCATGATGGTTAATTATAACCATAGAATTTAGATAAACAAAATCATGATGAACTCCTCTAAAGCCATGGATGTTTCCATGGCAGTGCCCACAGGATCCCCTTGCCTGGACCCCTGAGCTTGCTACGGATGATGCGCGCCTTCCGTGGCTCGGTTTTTTTTTTCGGATGGGATTTTTAGCCGGTGATATTTATGCCGGATCTACAAGGTGAAAAATCGGATTTTCTTCGATTTTCTTGGATTTTGTGATTTTTGTTTTTTGGGATGTTGATGGAATTTTCATGGGAATCTATCGGATGTTGGATGGGATTTTATAATATTTTATAACCAATAGAGCCCATCAACGACACCGCCAAGTTGATGCACATAATTTGGTGGATTCCATGGTTGATGGGGAATATAACTATATTTGAGGAGGTTATAAACCAATTTATCCCCGGGGGGCCTCACCTTCTATAACCATCATGGGCATGTTTGTTTGATGTGATTGCCTTTGAATGGTGTAGGAAAGAAATGGGAAATCATGTGAGATATCATGTGATGTAATGAGAAATACGTCAATATCATGGATATAATGGGGTATTATAATCGAATATAGTGGAATATGCTTGTGGGCTCCTTTCCGGAAATTCTCCCCCACAACTCTAGATTGGCCTGGAAATATCTCATCTGGTTGGTGGTTTGGAACATTTTTATTGTTCCATATATTGGGAATAATCATCCCAACTGACTAATATTTTTCAGAGGGGTAGGTCAACCACCAACCAGCTATAGTTAATGGGGGGGTTTGTTATGGCATGTTATGGCTAAATCCACTATTTCTATGGCCATTTTCATCAATCAATAGCTATGTACTGTAACAAATTTCCAGAGGGTAAATCCCATTACATCCCATGGAAAATCACCATTACTGGATAGTAAATGGCCACGATTGGGTTAGAAATATCTCATTATCCATCATTAACTATCATATATTAACCATCATTCACCAGAATATATTAACCATCATTCACCAGAATATATTAACCATCATTAACCATCATTAACCATAATATATTCTCCATTACAATCCTATGTACATCTGTATGCATGTCTTGGAGATCCATATCGTGTGATAATCCTATTATTAATCTCATCCTTTGGTCCAGGAGTCTTTCGCCTGTTCAAACGCGTGAAGTCCTTGCATCGCATCATTTTGTCCCTGATGAGTTCTGTGCCGGGCGTCTCCAATGGCTTTGTTGTCTTGCTATTGGTGGCTTGGGAAAACCTGGGGTTTTCATGGGAAAACCTGGGGTTTTCATGGGACTTGATATGATTTAATATGACTTAATGAGAGTCAATGGAGAAAAAAGGTGGAATTTGGATGGATTGAAAAATGGATTGAAAGATGGGTTTACATACTTGAAACCTGATAGGCTAATCAGTTCTAAGAGGTGAAAGAGTGGTGAAGGAACTCCATGACATATTGGAGGAAACGGTGATTGCCCCAAACTGGGAGATAAACCAAGCTGGGTAAAGCTTGGTGCCGAGTTTCTTGAGTTATCTGAAGCCATGTTATGCCGAGAAATCTTTCACATCTTTGGTCAAAACCCTGGTACCCTGGTGACCAAAATATCTCGTGCATGGATCTTGATCCGCCAGAAAGAGGCAGTTTACATGGTAAGCCTTCAAAGGCGAGATTGAGCAACAAAAATGGGAGTCACCTTGCTGCAGAATCTTCCAAGAACTCCAAAACTTAATGCTCATCTATATATATATTAATATTATGTAATTTTATATAATTACTAAATATAATATGTATAAATATGTATAATGATATATTATATATGTATATATACATTTACACATATACATATATATATACATATATATATATATACATATATATATACATACATATGCCATGAACAATTGAAGACCACTAAAGGGCCTAGTGTTTGATTTTGCAGATTGTTTCCTTTTGCTTTGCCACGGCGCGCCACCGGACCAAGCCTTCAGGTCATGTCCATCTATAGCATTTTGGGCCAAGAGTTCTTCATGCTCCATGGTGCCAACTACACCTTTACCAATGATCCTTGGCAGATAAAAAATTCGGCAGTTTTGACAGCCTCCAAAAAGATCAGGGGTTGGTAACTGTCCCATTTTGGGAATATTGGACATCACCATTTTTTGTAGCCTTTGGTAAGACCATATACCTAATGGTTGGGTGATGTTCAATGGGGACATTTAATGACCCATGAAGAAACCCAAAATGCCGAAGATTTCCAGGTTTTTGCTGTTGCTGTTTGTGAAGAGTTCGCCAGATCTTCGAAACTCAGAGTTTTTGGCAGCGAATCCCGTTCATCGCCATTCCTGAGGACCAGAACCAGGAAGTGGAACTGGCTCCTCGGCTGGTGACATGTGAAATTCATAATTATATATATATATATTTACATACCGTAACCCCAAGAAAAAATAGGAAAGTAAGGTATCATAAGGTATCACTAATTTTGTAGGATTTTGACCTTTCTATCTTTCTCAGGGTTGATGTGCATGTGTATACATATATATATATTATTCACCAACAACAATCACCAAAACGTGAGATTTAAGCAATCAAAACGGGGCTATATAATCATCAACACATATCCAACCTCCCCATGTGACGTTTGCGATGCTTGCAAAGGATAACTAGTAACTTCGTTACTCAAAAATGGCTGGGAAGCCGATCAGGTTCAAGCTTGTTGCTTCAATCAATACACATTATATATATATATATATATATACATATATATACATATATACATATATATATATGCATACATATATACATATATACATATATATATATACATATATATATATACATATATATATACACATGTATATATATATAATACATCCAATTTGTTTCCAAACTCAGGGACCATCTTTTGAGCCTAGTAAGAAAAAGAGACCGCCACGCCAGGTGACAGCCCGGGGCCTGGAGTATGGCTATGACTACTGGGGCAATTTCGGCTTGGCGCTCTACACCATGTTCCAAGTCTTCACCCAAGAGCCCCATGGCGGCAGCGACGGCGCGACATGCTGATGTTGCACTTGCACCCACGGCTGGTTGGGAAATCTACCCTGCATGGCCCAAAATCAATATTTATAACGCATATATATTTAATATAATATAATTTGTATATTATTATATTTTTAATATATATATATATTGTTTATAATATACATTATATGTCTATATATGTGGGCTATAGTTCAGAAAACAGAATTCGGTTGAGCAAAAGAAAAGAATGTGTTTGATGGTCAGGTTCATCCATGATTTTTGGAACATGATGGTCTTAATAGTACTGAGGAAAAACAACGGGAATAACAACATGAATAGTGATTAATAGTGGTTAATAGTGCTTAATATGGTGATTCAGTGAATTGATAGTGATTAATAGTGGTTAATAGTGATTGATATGGTGATTAATAGTGAATTGATAGTGATTAATGGTGATTAATAGTGACTAATGTGGGTTAAACGATGTCAAAAACCACCCATGACTGGGAATGGTAAACATACCAGCTATAAAAATGGTGATGACTGGGGGATGGTTTATTATTGTTTTACCCACATTAATGACAATGATGATACTAAAGATAGTAATGATAATAATGATGATCACAAGATACGTATGATATGCGTTATACATGGGTTTATGTCGCAACTACAATTTCAAATTTCAACCGGGAAAAATATGTTTATCTATGTTGTTTCTTATTTTGTTGTTTTCTGATGTATTCAATCATACATGCATATATATATATATACACAAGTCATATATTAACATCAGCACTTTCATTCCATCAAAGAAATAAACATCCTCGAAAATCCAAAACAAAGTTATACAAGTCCATAAACAAGCAATCAAATTCCATGGAACATTCATCAAAAATCCATAAGCAGCAGCCATTCAAAGGTCCATTAAAAACTATGTAAACAAATACATCCATTGAAAACTATTAAAAAAATATTCTACACATCCATTAGAAATAACAATAAAAACACATCAAGCATTCATTCAATCGAAGATCCATTAAAAAAAAAAAAAAACATCCATTGAAGATCCATAAAAACATCCACCAAAACAGCCCCTAAGGTCCTGGGCCGAAGGGATCGCGCGACCCTTGTTCAACAGCAGCTGGGTGATTAAGACCTAAGGTGCCCCCCAAACGATGAGGGGTTGGATGTTTTTTTTTTGGAATTGTCTAATGGGTTGTTTATGGAATTTCATAGGATTTTTTGTGACATTATCGTTTTTTTTGGATTCTATGGTATGATTATGGGATATGTTTTTTTCGTAATAGAGCCCCCCAGATAGCTAAGAGATGACGCACTTCTAACTTGGTGAACATTTGAGTTTCTGTTGAGTGTAACTATAGCTAATGGGTTTATAAACCAACATATAACTGGGGGGGCTCACCTTGTATGTGTTTATGGTAGTTCTAGGGTAAGTTTTTGTTGGGTAGTCCTGGGCTAAGACGTCGAAGATTCTCCGGGATGAACCTGTAAAGCCATAGCCATTGGGGGACTGGGCCGCCTGTATCATATATAGGGATTGATATGGATTAATATGGATTAATAGTGATTAATAGGGATTTATAGTGATTAAACCAAATCATGTATACATCTGGGTAAATTTCATCACGACCGAAGCCTGTTCTCCCGAACCCTGGAATCATGATTAGTAGGGGGAATTATCACAAGATGGCTTTATTTTATGTGAGTGAATTATTATAATTTACCCAGATACATATATGTTGTGTCTCTAAGGTGAGCCATGGTAGATGTGTGAAATGCTAAAAAGCTCTGCCAAGAACCCCAGGTCCCCTCAGAATTTCAGGGATGCAGCTCTTGTTTTTGCGCACACAGGAAGGCCCCAAAACATGGCCTGGGGTGAATATACTCTTCATTGCTATTCAATAGTGATGTTCCATAGTTATGTTAGTTATGCTATTTTCATGGAAAATATACTTTTCATGGCCGGTTTTCTTTTTGACCCGCTTCCGTGTGTTTTTTTAGCTCTCAGCAACTGCATGCCGACGTTGGTCTCATGATGGGACTCTGTTCATAGGCAGGCAGGGGTAACTAGGAATTGATAACATAACGAGCAGGACCCACTATATAATAGCCAAATAAAAGCCAATACAACCCATGACCCATGGATTTGCTTGTCTTGAGGTCGTCGCTTAAAAACTATCCACGTGCTTCCCATATTTTTTCAAAAATAGTCTACATATGGGTGTGAATATTTCACAAAATTAAGGCCCATGGGACGGATGTTAGTCATGTGTTACATAATGTTATATATATATATATTGTAACCATCCAGGTTTAGAGGTGTTGATACCTAAATAGTGTACTGGTAGATCCATGTTTGGGTATACCCATTTTAAAGGCATGTTTCATCATTGGATAATATTGGCAAAAACGACGTAGGAAACGCATGGTTCCACCCCCTTATATTTGATGCGGAGAAGCCCATGATTTCCTGCAGATGTTCCAGTTGTGTCTTTTCGATGTTTTCCTCCCATGATTTGGGCTACCCCCAAATCATCCATTTTTGATGGGAGACCATGACTTAGTATAGGTTAACCTATGCTGACTTGGGACTCCCCCACTGAAGAAACCCCTAGTCAATGGCCATTTCAGGAACCGATTGATTGGAGGGATCTACCATATATAAGGCCTATTTTTTCGGCCTAAATTTCAGGGGATATACCCCCAAGTTCTATGGCCTGAAAAATGGTACTAACGTACCGCCATTTTAGGATCCTGGAATTACCATTGATAAGTTAGGACAGAACCCCTATAGTTCTGACATGTTCTAATCATGACTTAGTATAGGTTAACCTATGCTGACTTGGGAATCCCTCACTGAAACCCCGATCCCTTAGGCAATGACATGTCGCAGCAGTTCGGAGTTGCCTTCTTCTTCGTGAGCTACATGCTTTGCGTAGGGGTGGTTTCTCGCCGGATCGACCGTGCAGAAATCCATGGAAAAATCCACCCCATTTTTTGAGTTTGAAAAGAAGCCATGGATCAAAAATGACCATTTGGGGTAATATTGTGCTAATGTTCTTTCGCAGACGTTCACTTTTCCAGATTTCTGCACTGGTGTTGAAATGAGAGCTAAACCAAGGTTTCCAAGTTATTTAAACATGCAAATTGCGCTTTTTTTATCCAGCAGGTACACCAAACGTTGGGCGCCTGGTCGTAGTTCTGCGTCCAACATCTCAGCAGGTTGTTTTTTTTCGCCACCTGAATCAAATTCAAACATAATCAAAGAAAAACATAGAACATCTCTATATAAGTCTATATATATATACATAGATGTGAATATCTGAATATCTATTTCATGGTATCTTATCAATCTATATCTAAGCTATGTTCTCCGAACCATGATTCATCCTTAATTGGTCCTTAATGGTCATGTCATTTCATGCCGTAAGATGTGAAGAAATATTTTTTGAGTCGCATGAGGCCTTGATGAACGTGGTGGTGGCGGTGCTGTTGGAAAAGATGGTATCTCATGAACCTGAAGGTGGGAAGGGACAGCACAGCCTGGGCCCCGTGGGAACCCCGCAAGCGTCGAGGGATGGTCCGTAGAAGGCTTGGAACACTGCTAAAAAAAACTATTGGGGAATGATTTGTTATTTTTCTTTCTCTGGCTTGATGTTTTGGCTGTTTAATTCAGCCTTCTGGCAGTGTATCAAATTTCGAAATATGTGGAAGAGGAATATATATATATTATATATATTATATATATATATTATATATATATATATATTATATATATTATATACATGCATATTAGTATACAATTGAACATTACCTTTTGTGGGTGGGTCCACTTGACACAGTGAGTTCTGCAACGTTCCACTATATATGTTCAACTCAATACTTGATCCAAAGGAATTCCCAAGGCAGGCATTGCCCGTGAGCATCATGAACCTGGTCCAAAAAGGAATGCCCTCCGGTGTCATCAAGCGTGGCAATTCAACATCTCCCCATAGAAATAGATCATTTGCCCAGCTATGAACCTTCATTTACAGGGGATTCTCCATTACCAGCTTTGACTACCAGAGGGTACTTCAGAAGATCATGCTGGTAGTTGTTGAAGTCAACATGAAAAAGGAGCCCGCTAAGCTCCAGCAAAAGAGCTTCATCGTTGCTAATGTTGGCACCGCAAACCAAGAATCAGCATGGATATGATAAACCCATATGAATGTATGCATAATTATAGATATAACTATTAACTCAATTCAGGCTGGAGACGCAAATGTCATGCTCTTGGCAGTTATATCATATCTCATATATGCCTATTATATTGTCTAGTTTCTCCCGATTGTTGGTTTTGTGCCCCATTTTCAGACATCAAACACGTTCCATAAATTTAAGACACATGCAATGTTCAGTCACACCTATAAATAAATCATATATTGTTGGTTATGGACCTATGGATATCCAATCTTATCCCAAGTATATCCCAAGTATATCCCCATTGGTTGGTTAAATCACCATGTATAGCCATTTACAGATTGTAGTTCCATACGTATTTCCACCATGTGTGGCTTCTAGAATCCCACTATGATTCTTCCATATCGCCACAAGATGGCTGTGTGCATATTTCTGGGTATCCCGGTCCCGGGTATCCCCAAAATTCATGGTTTATCAGTAGAAATCCCAATGAAGTGGCAATTTGGGGGTATACTCAATGGCCATTTCAGGAACCGATTGATTGGAGGTACCTACCATATATAAGGCCTATTTTTTAGGCCTATGTAAGGGAATATCACCAAGAAATATGGCCTGAAGAATGGTACTAACGTACCTCCATTTTAGGTTCCTGAAATGGCCATTGATATACCCGATGTTTCAGACAAGCCCTTAGAATCCCATCAGAATATTATACAGTTGTCATAGCAGTAAATTTCTGGATATTGTTTAAAGAATCCTCACAAGCATTGGAATAGTATTGAGCTATATTGAACTGTTGATGTTCTAGTTCAGGATGATTATATGTACAATATATATAATATATAATATATAGTATATAATATATAATATATAATATATAATTTATATAATATATAATATATAGTATATAATATATAATATATAGTATATACTATATAATATATAGTATATACTATATAATATATAATATATAGTATATAATATATAGTATATAGTATATAATATTTAATTTATAATATATAATATACTATATATAATATAGAATATAATTTATTTAATATATAATATATAATATATAGTATATAATATATAATATAATATATATATAGTTATATACAATATATATATAATATCATATACAGAATATATAATATAATCCCTTTGGGAATATCCATGAATATCCAAAAAAAAATCCCAAGCTACGTTCACAGGTGCGGAGATAGAGGAACCCTTGGGAAGGCTGGACACCTTAGAGTGGCTGGATGAGCGGCTGGTGAAAGCGGTGCCTGAAAACCTGGAGAAGGTCTGCTTGGCACCTTGGTAGATGCAGATTCTCAGCCTGTTGATTTCTAAACACAAAGTCTGTATATAATAGGAATATAGTGGTTATAATGGTAAATAATGGTAAATAATGGTAAAAAATGTTAAAAATTGTAAATAATGGTTAATAATGGTTAATATATAGTTAATGGTTGTGTTTCATACCCTCTGGTAAACGTTTACATAGCTATGGAAAAACATTATGTTTAATAGGTAAGCACATTTTTAGAATAGCCTCTGGTAAACTGTCACAGTTTGCGAACTGGAAAATCACCATTTTTAAAAATAGCTAAGTCAACGAACTAGATGTTTTGTTGCAATAGCTATGTTGAATTACCAGAGGGTAAAGCAAGAAACAGTGGGTTTGTCAACATATGTAACTCGCAAGTTGCTTACAAATGCGATAAATATAGAACATATATTCACGGGCATATGTTTATTTGTGCGCACCTTGCCCGCACAAAATGGTTTAAGTTCAAAATGATTTCATTTATATAGTGATCCATGAACCTTCCAATGATAGCTACTCCATTCTAGAATGGATTTTGACCGTCTATGTGACAGTGTTCCGTACATATCCCCACCGCAGTCCCATGCTGAAATGCCGCGTAGGCATGACTTTGGCGTGACTTTAGAAAGAAAGGTGCCATGGAGAAGTAGGACTAGGGCATGACTTAGGCATGACTTGGGCATGACTTAGGCATGACTTAGGCTTCCCGCAACAGGATATAACAAAACAAAAAAGTGATACGTGGACGATTTTTTCACGCGGGCTCCTGGACTCGACATTCGGTGACAGCAGGGTTTCTGTTGGTTCATGACTGTGATGTAGGGTTTATGGTAGATGTATCTGCAGGGTTGGTTCAAGTTTCCAACCTGAAGGCTAAACCTCGCTATTACTGGTTGGTGGTTTGGAACACGTTTTATTTTCCACAATATATGGGATAATCCTTCCTATTGACTAATATTGTTCAAGATTGTTTAAACCACCAACCATGTTTGTTGGTGAAACCTACAAGGATGTCTTGGTCCATTGGTTTGTAATGGTTTGTACTAGCTTCATCTCTCATAGCTGAAGAAAAACGCTTCAAACATAGCTGTAGAAAATCACCATGTTTAGGTAAATCAACTATAAATGGGCCATTTTTCAATAGCAAACTATAAATTCCCAATGATTCTTATGGGAAAGCGAGTGCAACTGAGCAGTGAGTCCAACGGTATCATCCAGTTCCACTGGTGAAGGCTAGGATTCTAGAACGGAACTGCCATGATTGTTGGGGGTCAAGGGGCTGCCCCAGAAGATAGGACAAGTGATTGTCAGTGGTTTCACCCATTCAACTGGAATATAGTTGGATATACCGATATACTTGACTTACTAACTAACCACTGTGCGGGAATTGTTGATGATATTCTCATATGTACGGGGGTGCAGGAAAGCCTGTCAAAAGCGATATATTTTTTTTGGATAAACATCCACGACTCCACGACTGACAGCTATTTTGATGTGAACAGAAGGGGATGAAGCTGTGGATTTGAACAAATAATCATATTATGATATGGGTATGGGTCAATACCTATAGATACATTTTTAGTGGGATGAACATCCATAAATCCCAGCTATTTTGATGTTCACCAGGGGTACCAGGGTTTGACACACTGCCATATCATTAATTTCTGGCTGCCCACGGTCTGGCAATGGATACGATCGCAGTATGACGATCGCTGAAGAGCGCGATCGTCATAGATCCATTCCACACGCTTTGGAAGGTATGTCAATTATACAAGCTGGGGCCCCCCAGGGAGTTATTTGTTGGTTTATAAACCCCATGAAAACTATAGTTATTTGCGTACCATAAACCATAGTGACATTGGGGTGATGTTCACCAACTTAGCTATCGAACGGGGGCCCCACCTTGTAGAGGGAATTAATGATTAGTTAGTTTGTTTTGTTCCAGATAAACAATCTTCACTTTTCAATATCTTTGAATATGTTTGAATATGTTTGAACCAATATATGGTACTGCAATACTCCAGTGACATCATATGACATCTTCACTTTTCAATATTAATCTTTGAATATGGTTGAACCAATATAATATATGGTACTCCAGTGACTCCAGTGTTGACTGAAAGACATGTTGCTGGTGCCTCAATTTTCTTTTCATCGTTCCCTGGGGAAATTTCGCTTTTTTTGTCAAGCTTAGGCCCAAAAAAAAACATACTAATATAACATATATATATATACATATATATACATATATATATATATCAAATGATTGTAATTGTAGTCGGATATCCCTATCACATCTCTATATAGTTGTTGATTAAACCACCATGTTTGTTGATTTTTTCCGGGTAGATTTCTCTAATTCGAAGCGCAGAAACTGAGGACATTGAGGCAGACTGTCTGGTCCTGAAGCAGCAGCTGGCAACCGTGAAGTGACTTGGCCGCGGTGAAAAATATCAGATGCGGTAAGCCTTAAATGTGGGAAAACTCAGGGTTTTTTGATACTGTGGGTGGTTGCGAAATCCTGGACCACCAAAAGGATGGTTGAAGCCCAAACAAAATAATGGGATTTCGCTGGCCCATCTATCAACTGCTGATTCGGATTTCGCTGGCCCATCCACATATTTCGGGAGACTGTCATAGGGATAGGATGTCACAGGTCAAAATTGCTTTTAACCAAAATCATGGATGGAAAATATGTTAAGAGAGATTTTTCCATCCACAATAGGGATATATCACTATTTAACCAACAATCATGGAGATATGTTTGAGGGTTTTTTAGGATACGGATCAATAGGGATCAATAGGGATGCCATGGGGTCAACGCTACCTCAACTGGCCGAGTTGTTTTTTCATGAGTGTGGTTAAGCAACATAAGAATAGATATATGATATATATCAAAAAAAAACGTGGATAGACAATCAAAATTGCGTTAAGCAGCAACATAGATGAAGTTAGGGGTGTAAACACTCCCCAGAAAACGAACATGGAACCCAAGAGTTGGCATCCAGTGATGCACACACACCCCATGACTATGACAAGTCATATGATATATCTGATCAAGTGACATGTGTGAATATATAATCAAGATATAATCACTTTATCAGATAAAAATATATTGCACAATTGTCAATATATCAGTTATATAATATACAATACCTCATCCATTTGATCAAGTTCTATTTTTTGTGACGCCCCAAATTTCAACACAAAGATTATATGAGATATGTTAGTTCGCTCTTCTTTTCAGTTTTACACAGGTTGGACCAATTGCTCAGAGCACACTAATACATCAACTTGTTCCACCCAAGTATGACCATGTAAATATTAGTGAATCTGTATATAATTAAATAGTATACTATAAAATAATATTTAGTGTATATATATATATATGTATTATATATACTATACTACGTGTACATATGATTATATAATTATATATACATAATGTTTTATGTAAAAAAATGTGTATATCTATATATATATATATACATAGAAGGTTTTTTTGGGGTGGAATTATGTGTTTTCCGTTTTGGGCATTTTTTTGATTTCTGTTTCCCTGCTTCTTTGCTTCTCTGTTTTTCCCTCTTTTTTGTTTCTCATACTGCAGATCATCCTTAAGAAACATCATATAAATAGACCCTAAATCAACCATAAATAAACCCCAAACCAACCAAAGAAACACTAAAGCAACTCTAAGTGAACCCTAAACACTCCCCCAAAAAAATTGAAACTAATCCAAAATAGACCATACACCAGCCCTAAATAGATCTTAAACGATACCTAAATAAATCTCAAACCGACGCTAAACACACCTTAAAAAAGTCCTGAATAGGTCCTACGCCAACTCTAGATAGACCCTAAACCAAGCCTGGACAAACCCTAAACACACCCTAAATCAGCCCCAAATAGATGCTCACCCAAGCCTAAATATAACATAAACCAACCCTAAATAGATTTTAAACAAGGCCTAAATAGATCCTAAACCAACCCTCAACAAATTTTAAACCAACCCTAAATAGGTCCTAAACCAACCATAAATGGATCTTAAACCAAGCCCCTAAACTAACCCTTTAAAACAAACTAAATAAAACCCTAACTCTAAAACTAATCCGCAAAAAAAAACCTTAAAACCAAACAAACGCCCTAAACTAACCCATCTAACCAACCTTGAATGAACCATCGTTGCAAACGACCATGGTGACCATGAACACTTCGAGCAACAAGATCTTGCAAAATCCATCGAAAACAATTCTGCACCCATATATATATATATAGAGAGAGAGACATGATAGATAGTGTACAACAGACAATATATATATATATATTATTATATAGCATATATTACATAATATGATATAATATTATATTATATTATATGATATGATATTATGCTTTCATATACATTGTAGTGTGCAATGTGCGTATTGTATATGTATAGTACGGTCATCAGTCCATTCAGAGGAAATCCTAATGAAATCAGGGAACATGTGACCGGCTGGCACATTTATATGTACACATATCAATTATAGCATTATATGATATTATTGTTAAATAATATTAAATTGATACGTGACCTGATCCATACCGCAGGCTAAACGGAAAAACCCGGTTTTTCATCGCTAGGAGATCCCTGGACGGCATCGTTGAAAGCGTGCGGAGCAGCGAACCCGTGAGGACCAGTTAAACTGGGCGCCTCGAGAAACGCGTGAGAAATGACGGTTTTTTGCGTTTGGAATGGGGGCCGGATGGTGCTTGGTTGGTGAGTTTGGGGTAATTTCATGTAATTTGTCATTTGAGGAATATAAAATTCATAAATCACATGTTTCCATCTCGAAATATCTCGAAATCATTGAACTACTTTCCCCTTCGGCTCTCAGGATGATGCTTATTAGATTATTGGGCTGTACGAGGATGGGCCCACATTCGAATCCATCCTTTCCAGCGATGTTTTTCATGCCTGCGTTGCAAAGATTGGAAACTTGGAGAGGCTGTTGTAGCCAAGGCAGGTTTTGATGTCCACTCAGAATAGATGACGTAGTCAGAGTCAGCTTGCCCGCGAAAAACCATTTTTATGGTGAATGGATGGTTTTTCTACCTATAGAAACAGATGAAACAGCATTTTTATCCTTGATTCAACGGGCATCAATCCTTGATCCGGTCGCCGGGGGTCGAAAAAGGGGGTCAACTAACTTGAGAAACTCAGCAGTTTTTTTTCGCTGCACCTGACTGGATCGAATGGCGGTTAACCCAGGGCGTCTATGAATATACTATATAAATCTATATAAGTATATATAAAATACTATATAAGTAATTATAAGTATACAGATTATACATGATTATACATGAATATACATGATTATACAGCGTTTTCATCCACCTGGGGTCGGTAAGTCATGGTAAATCATCTACACATTGGACAATTTTCTGACTCATTTCACCATTATATCACCAGGAACCAAGTACCGAATTTGATCAAATTTGCGTTAGTCTTCAGAGGTGTATAAGTCATCTGATTTTTTGGCGGTTAGATCACGTTGAACAATTTGACTCCGATGTTTTTCCTGCTCAAATGATGTGACCATCCCAAGTTTTAAAAGGCGGCTTCAATGATGATGACTCCCCGTGACGACTCGTGACGGCCTAGGCATGAATCAGATCAATCCTGCCTCACCCAGTTCAGCAGCTGGGAATCCCAGTTCTTGGGGCATTTCATTTCATGGGGATTTACCATCTGGTTATTTAACATAGCCATGGAAAATCACAATTTTTAATAGGTAAACCATCTATAAATGGGCAATTTTCCATGGCTATGTTAGTCATAACCAGAGGGTAAGCAACCCTTTCGTGGGGTTGCTTAAGTGACAAGTCATGGGGATCCCCAAGTGACCATGGTTCTTTCAATATGTTTCAATACTAAGCCATGGTCTAATGACTTGGATGATTTGGGGGTACCATCCTTTTAGGAAACCTCCAAGGAGATCCAGGAGATTTCAGATGGGAGATGCACTGGTCAGCTTCGTGTTCACATCTGATGGTGACCTCCCCAATCATGTGTGGGTTTACTAAGGGCCTATCAAGCAACAACCAATAAGAATGGTATCTTATAAAACTATATATAGCTATCAATCGGGTGTTACCTTTTGGGGGATCTAGTTGACTCCCATGATCTTAGTATCCATCATAATGTACTGCAATTATCTCATAATTATACCACAATATAATCCATGATACAATCATAATATCTCATATTCAACAATCATTTTTTTTGGATTGATTTATTTTTTGGTAGCCATCCATTCTTGGGTCATTCTCCAATCAATGGCCATTTCAGGAACCTAAATTGATGGTACCTACCATATATAAGGATATATAAGGCCTATTTTTCAGGCCTAAATTTCAGGGAATATCCCCACAAATTTTGGCCTGAAAAATGGTACGTTTACGTACCTCCATGTATTGGATCCTGGAGATCTCCCATTGATCCAAGGGTGAGCCTCGGAATTTCAATAGCCGTTAGCCCAAAAGTAGCATAATCGGAGCTTAAACCCATAATCAAAGAGCCTAAATACTAAATATCCATCCATATCATGCCGAAGCTAGTTGACTCAGTTGACTCAGTGGTTACTTGATTCATTATATCAGGATTAGGTATTGGGAAGAAGTCTGCAAGCATTTTCTGGGGCTGCCGCTGTCACGGGCGGGGTGCACAGTTTAGGACGAGAGTCCTGCAGGCTTGGAGCGGCGTGGCTGCGGCGAGGGGATTTTGCGACGGTTACCCAACTTATATAGATGAGCCATGGAGTTAGTGAACTACTAACCCAGTCAACAAGCAGCTAGCAAAATCCATGGCCCATCCAAGCTTATTTGGCATGACATACGGGAGTGGACATCCATTGGTCTCTGTAGGGATTGTAATTGCATCAGTAAGGAATCCAAAAAAGGAATTACCCTTTGCTTATTTAACATAGCCATGGAAATTCACCATTTTTTATATGTAAACCATCTATAAATGGGCCATTTTCCATGGCTATGTTAGTCATAACCAGAGGGTAAGTCAAAGTTCAAAACTTGTCGAAGCACATCTGCGCTGTAAAAATCTTGTACCAACCCTCTATTTGACCCACCATTGAACGCATGGCATTTTTTGGAGGGCATGACAGTAGTTGATTCTCTTGATTCTCACGCGGAAAGACGTAAAGAAAGGATTTGATTCGGGTCAGTATTACCCCAGCAATGTGATGAATGCATATGGGTGCTACTTAAAATTGACCAAATTGCGAGTGAAATCTTGAACCCTACCCCTATGAATGACTGTCCCTGGAATTTCAGCAATTTCAGCAATTTCAGCATGCGAATGGACAATTCAGCATCTTGAGAGGATGATTTCGATGACTCATTTTGATTCGGACGCTAAGAACACCCTTAGATCCATAGATATCCCGGATCCAGATCCCCTGTACCCCCGATATTGTTCACACCCCCTACTGGGGCAACGGGTAGCCTCTGGTTATGACTAACATAGCTATTGAACATGGCCATAGAAATAGTGAGTTTTCCCATGAAAAATGGTGGATCTTTCCATAGTTTTTTGTATGTTTGCCAGAGGGTATCTAATCTCGTGGGGATGCGATTTTTGATCGCGATTCATCGATTCTGTGGCCACTGTGTATTGATTGGGTCTCCGTGTTTGTTAGTCCTCAGTTTTGTTGGCAACCAATCTTTGTTGGTCAACTGCCTGATCTTTTGATGATGTGTTGGCCCTTAAAAGGATGCTGCCTGAATTTGCTGAATGGTATTGTGAATATATCCCTAATATATACATATATAATAATATATTATATTATATATATTATAATATATATATATTATAATATATTATATAATATTATATTATATCATATTATATTATATTATATATATGTACACGGGGATATATCAGCTATGGCTACATCATGACCAACTAAAAATATGCTAAACCCAAAGTCTTTGGTGCTTTCATGTGCTACTGTCCATCCCAAGGAAACAGGATGATGATCTTTTCTGCGAATAATGAAAGATATTCTGACATAGTTAGCCCCAAAAAGATAGAATTTGGTAAACACATGTTTACAATCGTACTGAAATAGTGATACTCATGGTAATTCCTACTGAATCCCCACTTTCTGATGGATAAACTTCAGTAAATCCCGTTGAATCCCAAGTTATTTATCGTAAAAAGTGATAAATTGAACAGTAAAACATTTAGTTTGATGATTTCCCCAGCAACAACCATCCAAGTCGCGGATTTTCCAGCCAGGTGTGACTAGAGGATAGGGTAAGTTACGTCTAGTCATCCCAAAAAAGATAGAAAATCAAGAAGATTCACTGTTCAATCTCTTTGGGGATTATTAATTACATATTGATCATATTGTTATCTGGTTATATAATCACGGATAATAATGGTTAATGGCGGCAAACACTGTCAAAACCAAAGGAAATCAGCCTGTGCAGTCGATTGTTCCAATGGTAGGGATGCTGTTCGCGCCTTACTTCAGACTCTGCAATGCCACACTGCAGAGCAGCTTTGATCACTCAATAGTGATTGCCAACTTGCCAGGGCTGAGGCCTCAAGATGTGCACAGATTGGCTTTCTTGGCGAGCGATCGGCCACATCTGTCGGAAGCTCACTGGCTCGAAGCAGATGTGTCTGAGTGTGATGCTAGCCACGACTTGAGCGACAAAGTGTTCCTAGGCAAAATCTTGCGCCTCATGCTGCCCAAGAGCAAGCGCCTGAGAAGAACAATACTGGCCGTAATGATGTTGTGCGACTCTGCTTGGCGGAGCGTATCAATAGTGACGCGCCAAAACAGCACCCACAGAGGGGCATTGCCTAGTGGGGTGCCATGGACATTCTTGGCCAACAGCGTGAAAGTGATCAAACACGTAGCGCTCGACTTTCCATCCTTCATCAGGTTGGTAGTCGGCGAGGATGATTTAGCTATGATAGGTAGATGGATAGATGGATAGATGGATAGATAGATATACTGGTTGGTGCTTTGGAACATGTTTTTTTCCATAATATGTTGGGAATTTCATCATCCCAACTGTTACACACTCCATCATTTTTCAAAGGGGTAGGTTGAAACCACCAACCAGTTATACTTGGACCCTTTAAATGTTTGTTCAATCCCATGAAATCCAAAAGTACCGTTGATCGTCATATAAACCATGTTAAACCACCATTTTCTCAATGGATTGGTTTAGGGGAGAATTGAAACCGGAAACCCCCATGATCTTCATGGTAAAAACCATGGTTTTAATGGTTTCCGGAGTTTCCGGTTAAAAATTTTCCCTTAAACCAATCCATTGATTTTCAAATCCCTGAGTACCATTGTTGATGGTCATATACACCATGTTAAACCACCATTTTCCCCAGTGAAACCACCAGTTTCATCCAGTTTCCATGTTTTTTTTGGCCTCCAAACATATGGCCTTCTCGCCTTCTCCGCCCCCAGGAGCTCCACTGGTCTCTCGTAGCCGCGCTCGCCGTGGCGAGGTGAGAGATTTGGGAGATGGTCATCTGAGAGAAAGGTTGGTTAACATGATTTACCTTCTGGTTATGGTGATTTTCCATGGGTTTTTATGGTGATTTTCCATGGGTTTTTTATGGTGATTTTCCATGGGTTTTTTATGGTGATTTTCCATGGTTTTTTATGGTGATTTTCCATGGTTTTTTATATGGTGATTTTAATGGTAATTTATGGTGATTGTCCATGGGATGTCATGGTAGA